TAGCGTTAACGAAGATTCTTATAACGAAGTCCTGATCGGCTGGATCAGCAACTTCGTTATATCGAGGTGTGACTGTAGTAAGTTATGCGAAGTACTATATTTGTAATTTTGTGTAAATATCATAGAATGTAAATATTTAAAATACTTTGATCAAAAGTATTTTTGCAAATATTATGATCAGTAAATACTATAAAGTATTCAAACGTGATATTATGTAAACTTTATATTTATAACTCTTATAAAATACTATGCTAAAAATGTAAATATTATAAAACCTTATAATATAATATTTACATAAATTTACAAATTGTAAATCTTACGCAATACTTTTATTTTTGATATATTTATAATTATTTTTAGAATAAGCCTTAGTATTTCTTATACTTTTATTTTATTAAATTATTAGAAGCTTATAATTATTGTTTTGATTTTGAATTAAATAAAATCAAATTTTTTTTAAATTGAATTTAAAAAATTGAAAATTTATAATAAAATATTTAATTATTTCCAATTAGAAATTTTCTATTTAACATATTATTTCTTAGATTGTCTAGTAGGCAAATTTGCTTATAAACTTAAAAAAATGTATTAATTTTTTAATAAAATATTAAATTTCAATTTTAATAATATAATAATTATATGAAAAATATAGTTTAATATATATTTTATTAATTTTTTTAGAAGAAATTTTAAATTTATAAGATATTTTTAAAAAATTTATATGTTTACGAATTAATTGAATCACTTTACTATTAATAGAAGTTATAAAATTTCTTATTAAATTATAAAAAGTGTAATAATTAAAGTTATTCTTCATAATAAATTTTATAATATTCTATTATGATTAATATTGCTAAAAGTAAATGTTAATAAAATTGTCAAAGATCAATAATAAAATTTTTTTATTTATAGTTTTTTTAAAAATTAACAATTTTTAGCTTATAAGTAACTATAAATTATTTATCATATAATTAAAAAATAAAAATTACTATAATATAATACAGATTTATAAAATTAATTTAAAAAATTTTAATTTTTCATAAAAGTAAATCAGAAGAGAATTTATAGTAAATAAGTAGGCAAATTTGCCTGCAAACCTCTACAATCTAAGGGATAAACTTTAATCTGATTCTTTACTATTTTCTTAATATATCCAAATTACTAAAATGATGTATTAGATTTTAGTATTTGAATCAATTCAGAAATTTCATTCTAATCTATTTTAAATATCATATGTTTTATATGAATATAATCAAAGATATTATTATCAGATAGTAAGGTTAATTTAATATCTGCCTGTATAAATATGATTCTTAAAGAATTTTCAGAAAATAATAAAAAATTATCAATACTGATAAATTTTTAAATCCTAATTTTATAATAAAATTAAATAATTTTTTTTTGATTAAATTTTAATTAGTTCAGAAATGATTATACAAGTATCCTAACATCTATATTAATTATATAAAAGATATATAATAAAAATTTTTAAAGAAATTGTTTTAATAAAAAAAATATTTTTTTTAATAGTTTATAAGAAAAAATTTTCTTTAAAATTATTTTTAAAAGAAAAATTCTTTTAATAATTTTTAATAAGAAAATAATTTTTCTTATAATTAATTCAATGTATGGATTATCATTCACAGATTGCTTCTCTAGTCTAGATAAAGTTTCAGACCTAATAACAGTCACCGTTTCCTAGTTATAGATCAACTGTGACCAAAAGTAGGAAAATGGTCACGATATGATGCATTCACTAGATACTGTATATATATTAAAATACAAGTCCGATATGGGCATCAGATAACAATCATTTTGTATTGACAATTAACATTATTGTAATCATTTTTCCAAGTAATACTGCACATTTATTTTTAAAAAAATAATTCAAAAGCTTATATCCGTAATGAATGACATGGAATCTGACAGAAGATGGGCTATGATGCAGATAAATGGGAGTTATTCTAACTCACACAAATGAATTGTATTTTCGCTTCATATTTTACCTTGTTACAAATTCCATGATAAATAATCAGAAGGCAAGTTTTATTAGCATTTATATATGAAATTAAAAGCAGTCAACGAATAATAATATTACTTGCCTCATAACATACACCTACATTCAAAAAATCATATTAATTGTTTATAGGAATCACGTAAGTATGATCGCATTATGAAAATCCGCACAATTGATATTTCTTCAAATCTTAAGCGTCATTCATGTACAGGTTCAAAACTCAAATTACGTTTCAGATGAGGTATGATTTCAATTGGAGGCTTCTGATCATCGTTATTAAATCTGATTATCAAACAATCACAAGCAATTTACTGAAAGTTTTAGAATAAATGCACTTCATTCCGGTATCTAGACATTTCGCCAAATCTGTTTCGTCAAAATCCGCTTTGCCGAAGCTAATTCACTGAAAGGACTCTTCGCCGAACGACCACAACGCCGAATGGAATTTTTACAGAAAGACGTTTTTGCCAAAATACCATTTTGCCGAAAGGTCACTTTGCCAAAATGACGTTTTGCCGAATCCTTTTTGCCGAACGGACACATCGCCAAATCTGTTTCACCAAAAGGACATTTCGTCAAAAATGACTACTGTGTAATATTTGTTTAACTTATCATTTTTAGGTTCTATATTATAAAGTAAGTTTTTTCTTAAAAATTTCGTTGGAAATAATAAAAAAGTTCAATAAATCTGGCAAGTTGCTAATAACCAATAGCGAATTATTTTCATTTTCAGCAAAATGTCCTTTCAGTGAAACAGATTCAAAGAAGTGTCCATTCGGTAAAACAGATTCAGCAAAATGTCATTTCGGCAAAGCGTCCTCTCGGTGAAATGTTCATTCGGCGAAACTTCTTTTCGGTGAAAGGTCCATTCGGCGAAATGAACATTCAGTGAAGTCGCCGTTCTGCAAAATGTCCTTTCGGTGAATTGGCTTCGACAAAAGGAGTTTCAGCGGAACGGATTTCAGCGAAATGTACTGTAACCCTTCATTCCAAACATGCCTACTTTCTCTTACTGCGTATGTGGTGTTGAGATTTTTCTGAGACCGCCGGTCCAAAAATTTAAGTCATGATCAAGAACAATCTCTTCAGTTTTGATTCTGAAAGTTTCTTTGCTGAATGCGAATAAAAAATAATTAAATATAACTCATCTATCTTATATGTTTGCAGTATTATTCACAGTTTGTTCAAAATATGAACTTGCAAAAAAACTATCTAGAAAAAATTTGAGGAAAACTTTGTCACAAGGTTACATAATTTTACAAACACCAATATTGCACTTAGCAGTGACCATGTAACATACACTAGATAAAAATCATTAGCCCGATGTAGGCGAATAAATGCTTTATTTTACTAAAAAACATTTTGAACATATATGGCGCAATAGTCACGTGAACAAACTTTGTTCAATATCTTCTTCAGGATCGGGCGACCTCTAGGTTTCTCGCATATTTATCTCATACAATTTGATTTTATTTGAAAAATGATTATGTAACGGTAATAGTATGTTCCTCCTGCGACAATAGAAGAGGAATGAACATAATTATTTTTTATCACACTAAAATGTCACGACAGATTTAACTGATCAAAATCCATACCACCAGAACTGTGCGTTTAGCTATAGCTTCCATTCTTTGTTCTACCGACTCGACAATCCATACCACCAGAACTGTGCATTTAGCTATAGCTTCCATTCTTTGTTCTACTGACATTCTTCCAAAACTTAACGATTATCAGCGATTTCTTATTCTCCTAAAAAAGATAATTATTTTATAAGCAAATTATCAATAAAAATCACCGCAAGCTGCAGCTCTCCACTCCTGATCCACAGTCAGAAGTGTTTGGTGTTTACTGGCATATGATTCTAATAAAATTTTTTTCCTTATCTACCATAGGACGGAATCACCAACTGCAGTCAGCAGTTGAATACAGACCAGCAGTCCCATCCAAAAGTTGGACCCGTCTGCTACAGTAGATAAGAAAATTAACCTGTAGTTTAGCAAACGCCTTGTTAACCCATTCAATTGCAATATTGGGTGCTTCTTCACAGTTCAATATTGTTGTAAGACTGCGTATCTTTCATATTCTTTTTGTTTACTAAATCAGAAATCGCTACACTGTTGGCGGTATGATAAAAAACTCAGCAGACCATTCATGGTCAAAGTGAAATAAGCGAGTCCTAACGAAAAAGAAGACTTCATGATCACTAAAAAAAACTATCCCAAACTTGATAAAAAATAGTTACGTCTTAAGTGAATTTTTAAAAAATACCTTGCCTAGTATATGTGAGAAATTTTCTTGTCACACAGACCTGCCGTATGATCAACCACAGGACCCCTGAATATCATAATTAGAATCCTGACGTACAGATTACGAAGATTAGAACATGTAATTTGTACATGTATGTGATACGAGAATACTTATTTGGTGTACGAATTATAACCTGATATAGATATTATATAGGGAACGACCGTTATTAAGTTTGGATAATGTGGATTTTATAAATAATTTAACTAGCCAATAATTTTTTCTCCAATACCCACCATATTTTTTTAAATTGAAGTATTATAAAATCGTATATTATATAACATTACATTTAGGGTTAGTCTTAAATAATCATTTATATATTTTTATAAAGATAGTAAATAAATCTTTTGTTATAATATTTAATTAATATTTATAATATTACAATTTGAATAAAGATAAAAGTTATATAATAATTTTTTTTTTAAAATTTTTTTGTTAAAAATTATGAGGGTTAGATCCTGATATTCTATATAATCTTTCATATTCTAAAAGCATATTTTGATCTATCATAAATGCTAAATAATCAAGATGAGATATTTCAACATTATTCTAGGTAGGACATCTACTAAGAGTAACATAAGCTTGTCTAAGGGAAAATATATTTCCATCTAATGCAAGAGTTACTTTTGATAAGGTTAAACCTTGAATTTTATGAACAGTAAGAGCAAATGAATTTTGAAATTGAAATTGTATACAGTAACAGTTGCTTTTATATAATTCAAAATAATGAGTTTGTTTGTAAATTGTTGTATCAATAATTGAACCTTTAACTAAAATGCAATATGAACAGATTGATCTATAAGATTAAGATTAGTGATAATTCCTATTGTATCATTACATATTTCTTATTCAATTAATAAATTATTAAGATACATAACACATGCTTCCAGCTGTAATCTAATTAAAGAAGGTAGATTAGTTCTAGTTTTAAAAATATTTTTAGAAGATGATGAGTCCTATTGTATAGAATCTATAAAATCAATAGATTGGAAAATTAGAAATTTATTATCAGATACAAAAAGCATATTACAAACTATTCTATTAATTTATTAAGCAGTTTCTTTAAAGTCTACAATATTAGTAATATTAAGAAAAGTATCAATTACAGGACATGTTAAAAATTCAGAATGTTATTGTTGAAAAATTTGCTAAGTTTTAGAAGTGATATTGCCTATTCAGATTTTTATAACATTTGATAAAATTTATTATCAATTTGTTAACGTTGTAGGGTTTTTAAAAATAAAGGATAAAATAATTGTGTAAAATCACCAACAACTATAACATTTATGTCACCAAATACTATAGTATTATTTTTAAGTTTTGCAAATATATTTAATATAAAATCAAAAAATTCTTTAAATACTATAGATATTTTATCTATGATTATAGTATCAATTTTTTTTAAGTTATCATTTAATTCTTTATTTGCATAGACTCGTATATGAAAACCTTCTTGAGTAGTTATAATATATAATGCAGAATAAGTGGTTCTTTTTTCTATATTTTGTGCAGCAACACCGGTTGAAGCTAATAATAAGTAATTTGAATTTCTTCTATTAAGCATATTTAATATTAAATTGATAATATAAGATTTTTCAGTTCCTTCAAATCTAGTAATAAAGTAATATAGTTATTTTATGCTATTATTTTTACTTAAATATGAGAAAATAGTTGATAAAACATAATATTGGTCTTGAGAAAGTTCAAAAATTGTTGTTTCTGAAAATATATGAGAGAGTATTTTGATATTTTCTAATTGTAATCATATTATATTATGAATATTAGTAGGAATTTCTTCATGTAATATATGTAATAATCTATCTAATATTTCTATAAATTGATTATTTAAATATATTATATATGATTGATACATATTTGCAGTTTGATTTTGTAGATTAATTAAAAAATCAGAAAATAATGATAAGAATTTTTCACGATATGTTCTATTTGGTCTAATTTTATAATCAGATTCATTTTGTGTAGGAATAATTAAGAGTAATTTTTGATAAAAATATAATTCAGCATTTTCAAGTTTAAGAAATTGATATCTAAATATTATTTCTTTTGAACATTTTATAACATAATTTTTAAGATTATCATGAAATATTTGACGAGAAGTTAAAGATCTTGAAGGAGTAATTATATATTTTTCAAAATATTATGAATAGGTAAGATTTTCAAATTCAGAAAAATGAGAACAAGACATATATTTTGTAATAGTATCATTATAATATGAATTTTTATTATCTTTATTTATAATATAAGTTAGAAGGACTATGTAAGTTATAGTATTAGGAGGTTCAGTTGTAAAAAATTTTACAATAGTAGAAGAATTGCAAATTTGATATTCTAAAAGTAAAAATATTAGTTCTATTGAATTAATTCTTCTTGCAATAATATGTTCTCTTAATACATCACCATCTTGAATATTAAATATATGAGATGATTTTTTTTTTACAACATATATTATCATATATTTTGTAAATTCTTTATCTGTTACATATTGAGCATTCATAAGTATTCCATAATAAAAGAATAGCAAGATGATATATAACTATCTAAGAATCTACTTCAGTTAAACATTTATATAAATAATAACAATTTTCTTATTCATAATAGGTTGTTTCACTATAAGGATGAGAAAAATCTTTTTTGCAAATTTAACCTGGTGATGTTGGACCTTGATATTTTTTATTATATATATGAATCTGATTAGCTATTATAGCTACATATAATTCAGATTCATATAAAGAATCAGATAATATTGAACAGATTACATCATTTATAATCATTATTTCTATAGAATTTGTGATCTAGTAATAGCTATGTGTATGGGTTAAACCCTATTTTGAAATTCAACTCTATCAAAAAATTCAGTAATTGTGTTAAAATTAGTAAGTTCTGATTTTTTATATAATTCTTTTTTTTAATAATTAGAATTTGTGAACAAAGTAATTCACATAATGATAAGATCTATTTATAGGTAGAGTGTTATAATTATCACTATTAGCGAGTATATTATAAAGATAAATCTAACGACTTTTAACCATACTTAAAGTTATAAATAATGAAGGTAAACCTATTTTTTTAATTATTGTATTAAGATGTAATTATTTTTGATGAAAATAGGTATTACCTGTTCGTATAAAACTTGGAAGAGAAAAAGTTTTAGTTTCATTTATTTTATAATCTTGATCATAATTACTAGGATGAAGTAATTGTCTAGCAGTAGGAAAGTTTGTATTATTTGAATTAATATTAGTTTGTCTTAAGAGTCTTTGAGTATTTTAGTGATGTCGTAATTTTTCAAGTTACAGATATGACCAATATGGTCAATAATAGTAAAGTCTCCATCTTAATATAATGTAAAAGTAGGGCGAAGGTCTGGTCTCATTGAAATATTAGATGTGTGAATCACAGAATGTTAAAATAATATCAATTTTTCTTATTATATTAGAAGAGCTTCTATCAGTTCTAGAATCTTAATTTTGATATTATATTTTTAATTCTGTGTGAGTTTTCCAACCTTAGAAAGTATATTGATTTTTATTAATATATTAGAAAAGCTTTTAACAGCTCTAGAATCTTAATTTTATATCAACTTTTCAGTTATATTTATTAAATTTAACGAAAATTATTATATTAAAAATTGATTCTGTGTAAGTTAGCTCATTAATTAGCATATTAACTACTTAAGTCTAATGAAAATAAGTCTAACAGTTCTTATTATCTCATAAATAAATCTAACAATTTCTTAAGTCTAATGAAAATAAGTCTAACTGTCCTTATTATTCTATAAATAAGTCTAACAATTTTCTTAAGTCTAATGAAATATAAGTCACATGATTTCATAAGTCTAACAAAAATATATATATCAAGGCCTGTCTCTATGCGCATTTGCTCAATAAATAGCATAATAATTAAAAAAATCTAACAAAAAGTTGTCCCAATTTTTCTAGAATAAGCCTAACAAAAAATGATCCAATTCTCTCTATAATAAGTCTAACAAAAATTGTGAATAAAGAACTGGTTTTGCACAGGTTAGCTTCTTAATTAACATATTTTATATAAAAGTCTAATAAAAATAACTTTTGTAAAAATCCAGAAAAATCTGCAGAATTATTCTAACTTTCCTTAGTCAAAAACAGGTTTTACGCAGGATAGCTTATTAAATAGCATATAAATCATAAATTTTTAACAAAAAAAATAAAAAGCAAGTCTAACAAAAATTTAGCAAATGTCTATTGAATATTGCGCCTCCAAATTCTAATAAAATTCAGGTAAAGAGTTAACTAAAATAATCTTTCTATTTATTCTGACTGATATCTATCATAATATTCTTCCTCTTCTAGTTTTATCAGATAGAGGCATTCCTTACAAAGAGAAATATTAAGATTTGCAAGCG